CTCCCCGACTTCCAGTTTTACCGTGCTCGCTACCCTCGACAGAGATGACAAGGGCCGAAGTGTCTTGATCTGCCCAATTCTAATGTTAGTGGGCAGAAGTTGAGTGCCAATCTTGGAACCCATTTTGTGCAAACATTGTGCACTATTTGTGCAAACATTGTGCACTGTTGTTTAGAAGAATTGGATAAATCGTGTAGCTTCAGCCGGGTTTCGGTAAATGATAAAATTGACAGTAGAATTGCTCTACAGGGAACAGTCAAGAATTAAATACTCCAAAAGCTATATGTGATAGTGTTGAACAATCTGTAATCTCTACTGTTATATTGCAAATATAAATCCACATTGGTAAGAGTTTTCATAATCTGTTGGGAGATGTTAATTTTTTTTTTTTTTTCCATTTCTTTTGCATTTAAGTAAGTTCATTGCATGTTAATATTTTGTTTCAATTGAGGTGTTATGATGAGAATCACATAACAACGAACACGACGCAACCCACAATGAGATTGAAGATCGCAAGAAAGCCCAAAACACAATCTTGATTTTGAGTTTGAAACAAGAATTAATGAACCAAGCAACCAAATAAAAATGAAGTTTGAATGACCTCTTGAATATCGTCCCACGGAGACTAATATTTCTTATAAATTGTTAAACTAACGTAACTTCAATTTAAATTAAAATAGTAACTAATGATCAAATCAAATTGTGTTTTCTAAATGAAGTTCTAATAAATAAAATGACAAATGATTAATTAAAAAAATAAACTCAAATTAAAACTGTAGAAAAGATTATGTGATTGAATAGTTAGGATTTTCAATTTCACTTAGGTTACTTATCATAGATTTAATTCCAATTTATTTAACCATTTTTCATACATGCCAGCGATCGAATTAACTTATTGTATTTAGTGATCTCTCTCGAACAACACTAATCATATTCATATGCCAGAACTTATTATATATCTATACAAATTCACACACATATGAACGCATTTATCTATAAGAATTCAACAAAGATCGCACAACTTATAATTACCTCTCGATCTCTTATAATGCCTATTTTAATTATTGCACAAGCTAGAATTATAGATCACCTCTCGATCTCAGTATTATCCATAAATCAATTAATTGTTGTGCAAACAATTAAAGCATTAAACACACAATAATGAATTAACAAATATTAAAATGGCATGAAAATCTTGAAATTAAACATATAATAAAAACTTAAGCTACATCATCAATCCTAACAATAAAAGTATTT